TTGGAGTACAATAGATTCCGAAAAGAAAGACGAATTTCAAATCGTAGAATGGATGGATTGGATTGTTTCAGATAGTACTATATCTTAAGATTCCAATTTTACTCAGTAATTTTGATTTTGACCACATTGTATTTAACAAACTATCATAACGTTGTCATTTTTCTATATTTTTAGAAAATAAATTTTATATGTATAGCATAGATTTTATATTTCTGTGCTCAGCTTATTTATTGTCTAATATCTCATCAATTAGAATAGAAGAAATTCAAGCAGTACAAATTAGATAATTGATGATTTCGTTTTAATTTTTTGATCCGTTTACAATAGAACAATCAATACTCGAATTTTCATTTATATGTCCTTGCATAACATCTCAACAATGTAATATTTTAACTCAGTTTAATTGTTGTATTCAACTTCTTACACGATACTTGCGTGCAAGCAATAGAAAATTTCGGCCTGGTCTGATTGTTCTGGGAAAATTTATTAGAAAATAACTTCCGAATGATGTTGTTTATATCAAGCATATGCATATATACACTGCAGCAAAGGTTGTTCAAATTCGGTATCATAATTTTTAGGTTTAATACTTACATATAATAAAAATTTAAATAAATTGATAAAAGCTATAAAATTAAGAATTCTATAATGATAACAATAAAATTTTTCTAAAGACGTAAGAATATATATTAATCTCAAGGTAACATAAAATAATTCTGCTCTTATTCGTTGAGAAGTTACATCATTTTGTAAATTCATTTTGGATTAACATAGCGATAGAGATCGTTTTATTTAATGAATTTATGTTCAAAGTTAATTTGGTAATAAGTACGTATGAACATATTGATTGATACTGATTTCAGCATTTAAAACTAATATATTGATTTCCTCACTCTGTAGGACAAAATAATCAAAAAAAGTTTAATTTTAATTAGAAGTTTTTCAGGAAACTTACGCATTGTGAAGTAAAAAAACATTTATTGCACTGAACATGGATTTGAAACCAGCATGAGCTCTAGAATTATACGAAAATTGCTCTTGGTAGTCAAAGCCAACTTACTTTTCATTTATTAAAAGTTGTTCGAAATTGTATAACTTAAAAGCTAAAATTCGCTTTGACATATTGCTAATAAAGAACCCGTTTTTATAATTTTTTTAATATTATATATTTTATTTATATTCATAATCTGCTTTGATCTTTTGTGGTGCATGACGCCTAAAGTAGCGCTCAAGTATTGCATCACTAAAGTTTTATGAAAAAATTATAGCGCCCTAACATCAATTTAATTCTATACACAATTCAAAATAAGAACCTAAAAAATAGAATCATTACTATTAAATAAAATTTTTGTCTTCAAGTCATTAATAAAAATGGTCTATTTTATAAGATGTATTTAACCTTCAAATTTCAGCAAAATTCATCGAGATATGGGTCCCGAATGTTAGCATTATACACATGTAAAAAGTAATTTTGTTAATTAGTATTTGAAAGTTTCAGCATTCGGAAGCCTGTATCTCAATAGTCAGCACTCTTTTAAAGATATATGGAGTCAAAACTTCACTAATAAAAAATTTATAGATCACTATATATTTTCCAGGTAATTATCTTTAAATGAGTATACTAAATTGTTGTTAGGGACTCCAGTGTAAAAATTTTTATGATGCAATACTTTTGAGCACCACTGTATAATAAACTTAAGTTGTATGATTTAAAACTCTATAACTTCTTAATTCAAAATTTAATCCGTATTTATGATTGATCAGGCCTTCTTAATTATAAGTATCAATTAGATTTTTGAAATACTTTCCTAATTAAGAACTTTAAATTATACAATTTATTTTTATTATAGGTATCACGCACCATAGCAATGACATCAAATAAAATCATAAAATTGCGAAGCATATGAAGGAGCATTTTAAATGTTTTTATTTTTAACTCTGCAATTAAGCTTGTTATCAAAGAACAAAGTTTTCAATTCAACTTCTCTTATTAAACCTTTTGCCTTATTTTTTTGCAACTCATTCTTTAAAATTAGTTTTATTCTATAACATTAGAATTATTTATTTATACATGTCTTTAAATTTATGCGATTACAATTATAGACCTTTCGAATTTTAAGTCGATTAATAATCACTGACCGGACAAAGTCTTGGATCACTTTTTATAAACGCATATATTTGCTTGTTTTTGCTCAATATCATGTGAATTAATAATGTTTTTGGGTCTAAAAACTCAAAAACTTGGAAATACATATCGTAATTACAGAGATATTCCAATTTAATAGTTAGTAAAGTAAAAGCCAATAATAAACACGATTTTTTAACAAGTAACTTTTTTTAAACTACTACTATATGCTTTGAGCTTATTTGATAATAAGCAAAAATAAGCAAATATTCATAAGTGGTCCAATACTTTTGTCATAATAACCTTCTATAGGTAGTTCAATATTTGTAACGATACACTTAAAAGAATATAATTAAATCGTCCATAACACAATTTGAGTAACTTAAGTAAAGTGACACTTAGTAGTTCTAAATTGAAGAATAATATTATTTCTATGTACATTCGATAATCAAAAGTCTCCAGACACATGAAAATTAAAATATCACGCAATAAACAAGATTTATTTTTGAATTTTTTGGGTACTGCTCAAATAAGTTCAAGATCTTGGAAATCTACACAGTGCGTACGTACCGATTTTAGATACTTGCCAAAAAATTTGAGTTTTGTGAAATCATCAAGTCATATCCAATAAAAACTATAAATTTTGGAAAGTGTCTCTTTAAATCGGAAGATTTGAATTCAAAAATATTATCAATCGCGTGATATTAACAAAAATAAACAAATATTGCATTTTAAACGTGTCCGGAAATTTTGAGTATCGAGTGTATTTGACAATGTTTTGATAAAACTTTGTGCATTATAAAAGTCAAACTAATAAATTGTATGTTTTAAACTTCATGACTAGAAAGCAAATACAAGATTTAATCCACAAGAGAGACTTTATCCATAACATTTGTAGATTAAATTTTCTATTTACTTCCTAGTTATGAAGTTTATAGAATTTAACATGAGATTTATAGATGACTTGATTTAATTCAAGATTAGTACTTGACTTGTGCAGAATATTAGAAAACAAATCGGATAATTAATTTTTTTGTGTCAAAAATATATATTGAAATACTAAAAGAAACGAGGAATGAATTTTACTTAAATAATATCCTGGTTTTTATTCTTTATTTATTTTTCATAAAAAAGTTTTGTTCTATTTTTTCAGAATATATAGCTCTTCAAAATAAAAATTAATATACCATTTTAGAGGTACGTAACATTTAATAGGATATCAAAAATAGCCCAAAGTATTCAATGCAGGCTTCAGAATTTTCTCAAAAAACAAGTTTCGATCCCTACAAAATTCAATATAAGTACATCTATATCGAAAATTTCTTAATAACTTTATTTTTAAAAAAAATCTGGCTTTCTTATATCGCATGATTTCTTATACATGTACATGTATTACCCTTCTTAGAAAGAGCTTTAGACCAGTAATAAAAACAAATGTTATGTATGTACGGAAATTCTTATATTAAAATAAATATTCAAAAAATTGGGAGAGTAATTAAAGGGTTATAAGATAATATAAACTGTTAAATATGAGAATTAAAAAAATAAAGGGTCATAAGACAATGTAAACTGTTAAATATGAGAATTAAAAAATAAAGGGTTATAAGACAATGTAAACTGTTAAATATGAGAATTAAAAAAGAATGAACAAAATATATTCAATCATTAATCTTTAATATTTAAAGGTTATTTAAGATGAAAATCCAACAAATTTTTTTGGATATAAAAGCGAAAATGACGTAAAGAAATAAAATGTTTGACTATACTTGTTTTTTGATTTGCGAAGAAACCCATTTCAAAAAACGATTCGGTTCAATATATTGGTCGTTTTTGAGGTATTTGGCGTACCAGAAAAGTGCTTTGTGCAAATCCCTCTCAATCCCAATGCCGTTTGTATAGCGATCTCCCAAAAATAACATGGCAGCAATATGCTCTTTCATTGCAGCTGATTTGAACATAAAAGAAACCCTCAATTTATAGTCGTGTTTATTTTTATGCATCAGACGCGTCGCAAAAGTATATTGACACAAATGATTTCCACTGTTTGAAAACCTTTCGTATAATTCATCGGCATGCGCCAGATCTTTTGTGGTTCCTTTTCCGAAATAAGTGCAATAGGCGATAAGAAATTGACTGAACATGTTTGTTGGATCGATTTGAAAAGCTTTTTCATATTGCTGAAAAGAAAAACTTTCGTCTGCACTTCTTTCGATTTTATCGCTTATGAATATCGAGAACCAACCAAGGAATACATAGTCATCTGCAGTATTTACGTTGTCCATCAAATACTCGAAAATTTGGTTCCATTCTATATAATCAGGTATTGCTATTTCAGATATTCTTTTTTGAATTCTATATTGGTGATAACCTTTTTTTAATTCATTAAAGAAAGTTTCTGATAAATTACTCTTTAAATTTTCCATTTTTAAAATAATTCAACTTTTCGTAAGAGTATTTACCCCAAGAACACCGATAATAAATAATTATTACTGTAACACTACATAAAACTATATCATCGATATATAGTAATCATCCATGTATATCAGTGTTGATGAAACCTATAAAAAATTGCGCTACTGGATGTTCGAACTAAGAATTTCGGGTCGGTCGGGTTTGACCCGAAAATAGACATTTGTATTTTGTGTCTTAAGTAGAGTTGTTTGGAATGTAATTGTGTATGCTTATATCCACAAAATTGCGTTTAATTTCAATTAATATTGAACGAGAAATAATGATTTTAGGTTGACCCGAAATATTTCGAGTCGGGTTTGTATGATTTTTCATTAATAAACTCTTGAGAAAATAATTAAAAATGATTAAATTAATAATCATAATAAAAATTAAATATAATAATTCAAATAAAAATTAAAAGAAAAAATAATTTTTTTATTAAAGGTCACCCGAACCGGGATTTTTGGGTCGGGTTTGGATCGGGTTTCGAGTTGACTCGAACCGATTGAAGCTTTACTTGTAACTTGCTATCGCTATATTCAAAATTTTTTCCTTTTTCTGAAATAATTTTAACAAATTTCCAGATTTTTTATATTTTAATATATTTGCTAATATTTTTATGAGCATTTAGTACATGTTTTATTATTATTTTTATAATAAATGTATTCTAGAATACTTTATATTTTATTTCTTTTTTTAATAATATTAGCATATGAAATATAATTAATAAAAAAAGAACAAATTAATCAATAAATTTGCTTTTTTATTGAATTTACTATATATTTTCTAATTTTATTTATAACTAATATATTTGAATATATTCTAAATCAATAATTTTTATTTTTAAATTCAATATATTTCATTATATTTTTTTATTAATAAATATATATTCTAAAATATTTTGTATTTATTTATTTATTTTTATTTTTTAATAAAATTAACATATTTCTAATTTTTATTTATTAACTTTATATAATAATAATTAAAAATAATGCAATGCAAAAAACATTATTATTAAAATATAGTAAAAATATAAAAAATACAGATTTTTTTCTTTATATAAATGTTTTTAATTTTATTAATAAATATTTTTTATTTTTATCTCAAAATAAAGATAATATTATATATTTTAAGATATATTTTTTTCAGATTTTTTAGATTTAATCTGATAAAGTTATTCTAATTGCATATAAAAATTATTAAATTTATATATAATTAGAATAACTTTGTTAGTTTAAATCTAAAAAATAATATATTTTAAAATATATAATATTATTTTCATTTTGAAATAAAATTAAAAAATATTTATTAGTAAAATTAAAAATATTTATATTGTTGTGATATGAATTTTAGCATATCACATAACTTTTTATAGTTAATTTTCATTGGATAATTGATTTATAAATCATATTCATATTTATTTCATACTATTTTTATAACATTTCATT